TGGGAACTAACCACTGGCCTGCCCCCAGCAAACCCTCACCCCAGGGCTTGGGAGGGAAGCTGAGGCTTCTCTGTGCCTCTAGGGACTGGGAGCACACAATTCTGCAGCCCCAGAACTACCCACCCCCTCCTACTGGTGGGTGGGCAGGTTTCCCAGCAGCCTCTTAGCTCGGACGTGACAAACAGAGTAGGCACTGACACCAAAGCTCCCAAGCCCAGCGGTTTGAAGACTAAACTGTATTGACTGAGAATTTAATTGCTCCATAAAGGCTGAGTAAACATGGAGGGTCTATTGATCATGCCTCAGGCAGGCTGTGGAGAGAGGGAAGTCCCCGGATACACAGGACAGCGCCAGCTAACACAGGGCTCCCCGTGACAGCCATCCTTGGAAGGGTGTCCCTTCCTCAGGGGCCTCAGCCTCTGCCGCTCACATTCTTCGGGCTGGTTAGCAGGTGACAGACAAAAGGGGTGGAGGCACCAGGAGGTTCTGGTTAGGGCAGGAGGCTTTCTCAATGAATGTGTGCAGTCAGTGGGACATGCAGGCCACAGTATCCTTATTTTTTAATGGGGGCACATGAAAAACCCAGTACAGAGAAAAATAAAACCCCAGAAGCTTGTGCACTAACATATTGACAGTGGTTAACTCTATCTGACTGGATTCAATTTTTATTTTATGTTCCTGTATTTTCCACATATCCAACAACTAGCAAGTGTGTAACTTGTAATCAGAGAAAATAAATGTTATTTAGGATTTAATGAAATGTCTCAAAGAACTTCTCCTATGCTATTCAATAAAAAACTCCTAGCAGCAGCTCTGTGCAAAGAGGTTACGTTTTGGAGTTAGACCTGGGCTCACCTTCTAGCTCCAGACTGATTCGCAGTGGTCCCTCTATCAAGGTAATGAACTTCTCTCTTTCCCAGATTCCCTTATCTATCAATGGGAGTAGCAGTATCTCACAGAATTCGGTGAGTCAAAATATTGAGCGTGCTTAGTGCAACAACTCTGGCATGTCCAACAAATATTGTGTTGAATAAATGTGAGTCTCTCTTCCATCCTGGAGCAGGACAGGGTGGTTGAGAAGGAAGGACCAAATATTGGGGGTGTCAGTTCGTCTGCTGGGGCCCAGAATGCCACCATCCACACTCCTATCCCCTTCTCGTCCCCAAGGCTGGGGGTTGTTCTGTTTCCTCCCTAGCACCTCCTCTCTCTGACCTCCACCCCTCCAGCCTCCCGAAGTTGCCCTCATAGAAGCCAGTCTTCTCATCTTGCCTCATTGCCACCCATGGAGACAAATGGGCTAGATGCCGGGAGGCAGCTGGCCAGCACCAGGGTCGTTGTTCCAAATGTCACCGAGAGCCTGAGAGGGAGCCCCTCCCCCTCATAAAAAGTAGGGCTGCAATTACTAGTCTATTCAATTCCCCAGAATAAAGCCTTGCCGTCAGCTAGCAGCGGGAAGGAGCTGGGAAGGGGGATGAAAGAGGCTGGCATGGCCTGCTGCCCCCTGGCTGGCTCTGAGCCCAGTTCTCACCTGAGGACCTATTACCCTAGTAAGCATAAGCTGTTGCCTAGGGATGTGTGTGCCTAAGCACAATGGAGCCCATGATAACTCTGTGCCAGCCCCATAACTGTTCCATTGTACCCAGGACACAATGCCTACCATTCAGCCTCCCCTTTGTGAGACAGCAGCTGCCAGACTTGCTCTTCCCACTTGTGGGAGCATCACCTACTGGCAGGCTCCAGATCCCCAGAGAGATTTCTCCTGAGCCCATCCCCCAAAGGCTGCTCTACAGGTGGCGGGGGAGGCTGTGCTAGCACACACTAATAGGCTGGAGCAACCCCCTCTTTGGAAGGAAGTGAGGATCTATCTGGGGCCCTGGGGTTCTCCCCTGGGCTGAGGGTTTGCCTCAGGCAGCAGCAGCAGCTCCTCTCTACCCGAGGATCAGCTGTGAGTGATAGGCTTACACAGATCAGCTGCCACTGCAGCCCCCAGGGCATGAGCCCAGTGGCTCATGGAAAGGGATTCTTGCTCAGTCCCACAGCTTGGGGTGGGTGCAGGGAGGGGACAGGTACCCCCTCACACTTGTGCTGACCTTGGTTACCACTGGCATCAGAGTACAGGGGAAGAAGATGAGGGGGTCTCTGTGGCCAGCTCTGAGGTCACACAAGAAAGGCCCCAATGACACTAGATCTGATGATTGGTTTGGATTCCTTATATTGGTGCCCTCTGTAGAGATCAACTGGCTAATTCCTAGAAATTCTCGGAGGAGCTTGAGGCTGGCTGAGGCGGTGGGAAACCAGACTGACCAGTGGGGAGGAGCCTGGCTTGTCTTGGAGGCTTGTGACCCACCCACCCTGAGCTGGCCCTCAGCCTGTTCTCTGACCTCTACTTCCTTGTAGAGAAACTCAAGGGGTGGTGGTGGGGGCGGAGCTTGAGCTACACTGGAGGCAGGATGGATTCAGAGCTGTGAAGGAGTCATGGATAGGGTTGGGAGCAGGGATGTTGGGAGTCTGATGGGAGAAAATTTATCTCAGGATGCAATTCTCCCAAGAATCCAAGAATAGACAGATTGACTGACACATACACTGTTAGAAAACATCGAGGTAGCCTTCTTCCAGAGAAGCCGAGAAACTGTCATCAGAGAGACAGACAGACAGACAGAAATACACTCTAGGAAACTACAAACCAGACAGACAGGACAACTTGGAATACCTGGGAACAGAGACAGACAACAGCTGGACCAACTTGGGTGCAAGCCTCCCTGCCCCACCCCGAGGGGAGGGCTGCCACAGGCAGCACTTACAAGCCCCTCCCTGAACCTTCCACCCACCTCCCTCCCTCATTAGAGCACCTCCACCCAACCTCGGGGCCTGCCCTTCAATAGTTTCCTACCATCCCACCCCAAATCTTGGAAAAGAACCCGATTCCCTTGGAGCCCAGGTCCCATAAGGGCAGCACCCTTCCCTGCCTCCACATACACCAGCATCTCTCCCACCCCTTCCTACCAGGAGCCAGACTGCAGGGTGGGTCCAGCAGAAGAGTGTTAGCATGTGAAAGAGTGGGAGGGTGAGTGTAGGAGAGAGAGAAAGGACCAAGGAAAACTCAAGGGAAGATTTCTGTTGCTGGGGCCTCTGCCACTGACTGTGAGGGTATGAAGTTACCCATCCTCACCAATGCCTGGTGCTCAGGGAGCAGCAATTGCCTGTCCACCGAAATGAGTTGGACTGAGGGGGTGGGAGGCAGACTACACAGCTTTCCTTGCTTCTCCTTCGCTGCCAGGAAGGACATTTTTTAGGAAGAAAACACAGCCACGTGTCTGAACAGTGACAGCTCATGGAAGGAGCCAGGGCTCCCTATCTCTTCCTCCCAGACCACCCTCACACCACTCCACTCTCTGTCCTCTCTCCTTTCTCTCCACTTTCTCATTCTCCCATTTCTCTTCTTCCTTCCAGTTTCCAGGTGAGCCATTTCCCATTTGGAGGCATTGTGATGTCCCGCTAGATGGGGAGCTCCTTGTGTCCCAGCACAGAACGTGGCACAGAGACCGCCCAGGGCATGGCACAGGGCCTGGTCCTTCCCTTTGCCTTCCGTCCTCTAACATGGTCGGCTGCAGGGAACACATGCCTCCTGAAGCCCCGGACTGAAGGGTCTGGAGGTGTTACTGTGGCCCCACTGCCATAGTTCCTTCCTCAGAGTCCTGCCTCATGCCCAGCCCCCTCTAACTTCTTTAAGGGAAATGAGTAGTAACACCTTCCAGGGGGTCATTTTCTGTCCTTAGCTGGACAGCCATCTTCTCTGATTATCATCTAGTTATTTTCCAAGGAAGAAAGGGAACGATTATGGGGTTGTTAAATCTTAAGCCTGGAAGTGGCAAGCAGGGAGTCAAACACCTTAAGTGTGCATCTGGGCGTCGATGCTTCCTGGCTGTGTGACCGTGGGCCAGTCCCTTGAGTCTCTGAGCTCACTTGCCTCTCAGGTAAGACAGCGGTTATAAATCTGCCTGGTCTTGTTCTCCTAAGCAGGCAAGAAGCTCAGTGAGGTTACATATAAATCCATTTTCTAGACAGACCAACCCCTTCATTATACTGATGTGGAAACTAAGGCCCAGGGGATTTAAGTCACTTGCTCAAATTCATTCTGTCAACAGGAGACTATACATGGGGGAAATTTTTGTCCCAAATCAAAGGATCATGACTGGGTGAAGTAAAGAACAAGAGAAATGTGCAGAACTGTGAGACAGAAAAATTGGTGGAAAAGAGAAGGAAATGAAGTGGGATAAGGGACATAGACTGACAGCACACACATCAAGAGGAGAGGGAGCAGAAACTGATGTGGGTGGAAAAGATGGGAATGGAGGAGCAGCAGGGCAGCCAGATAGATGAATGTGGGAGGAGAAAGATGAAAGCATGATGGAGAGAGAACACAGGGGAAGGAGCAGGAAGAAAGAGTGCATATGAATAACCCAAAACAAGATGAAGGAGAAAGCCTGGGACAGTGACACCAAATCTTGACTTTTCACTACTCCCCGTCCTTCCCAAGTTGTCAGCTAACTCATCAAAGGTTGAAAAATCCCTGAAATTAAAGTCAGTCATCTTGTCGTCGTTATGGAAGGAGAAAAATCGGGAAGACAAATGGAAATATTTGATATAAGAGGAAAGATGGGCACTCTCATTGGTTGAGCAACTCGTGGGTGCCAGCATCCTACTGTGCTCTGTAATTACAGCCACATTCATTTCCCTTGATGTTTAAAAATGTATTTTACATGGGTCATTTAGAGAGGAGCAGTATAGGAAAGGGCATAATGACCTCAAAAGTCGGCAATGGCTCATCTGGGGTCCAGAGGAAGCAAAGAGAAATGGAAGTATGAGGAAGGAGGTAAAAACAAACAAGTAACAGCACAAGACTCAAGGAAGAGGCCAAATGGTGCAGTGGTGTGTGCTTTGCTCCAAGGGGATGGACTGTGGGGTGGGGAGGGGAGGACCATCCACCAATGACTTCCCACCTTTGGGAGGCCGGGTCTGCGCAGGAGGGCTTCTGCTCTGCATCGGCGGCTGGGCAGCAGAACTGGTGCAGCACGGTCTCATTCCTGAGGGCAGAGCAGAGGAAAAAGGTCAGAGCTCGGCCTGGACAGGCTGGGCCCAGCACGGCTCTCTCACCCCAAGGCCTTTCTGCCTTGAAACCTTGCCTCTGTGTCACTGAGGTCGCCAGCACAGCTCCAAGGAAGGAAGTGCAGCACGGATGCTCTGCCATCGAGGCCCAATTCAAATACCACCTCCTGTTTGCAGTGCCCCTGACTTCCTGCCAAGGGAACTCTTCCTACTTCTGCACCCCCATCCCCTCAGTAGGCTCCTCCAATTGTATGAGCCATTTGTTTCCTCTGTCTTTTATCATTTTCATAGTTCTTTATAACCCTGTTCCCCACTAAGGTCCGGCAAGGCAGAACTAGTCTACCCACCTGTGATGCACAGAATTGCATACAGTAAACATTTTAAAGCTGATCATATGCAAAGGTACAAAGCACTCACACAGAGATCTTAGTGTTGCCAGCTGAAAATCCAAGGTATGGTGCTTGATGGATTTGTTTAACACGGATGGAAAAGCAATGCAGGAGCAGAGACCTGGGCTCCAGCGCCAGCTAGCCAGCTGTGTGACACCTAGTTCACCTCTTCTGGGTCTCAGTTTATTCACAGGTGAAATAAGGGAGTTGAACTAGAGAAGTGGTTCTCAACCCTGGCTGCTTATTAGAATCACCAGGGGATTTAAAATCAATCCCTGCATGGGCCCTATCCCCAAGGACTGACTCACTTGGTCTGGCCTGGCTCGGGGCGGGGGGGGGTGGGGGGGAGGAGTGTGGGGGACGCCAGGACTTGTTATAGGCTCCCAGGTAATTTAGCCAGAATTGAGAGCAATTAGACTACCTAATTTCCAAGGTCCCTTCCACCTCTAAAATGTTGTGATTCTAATATCCACTTTGAGCCAACTTGGGATTTAATATTGAAATTACTTTTTCATAAGTAATGCTGTGCATTGCCTTCTCTCTCTTAGCAAGCAGTCGCTGTACTGGGCGTTATGGAGTCAGAGAATGTCAGATCTGGAAGGGCCCCCAAAGATCACCTGAAAGGGATTTTGAAACTTCTTTAGCTTCAGGACACGTTGTCCAAACCCATTCTGTATTGGAAGCTGCTAAATCTGGCTATCCTCAAGGAAGAAAATAATGTTGAAGCCTACCTTAGACAAAAATAAATTCCAGAGAGACTGCATGTTTAAATGAGAAAATAAAACAAGGGGAAATAAAGAAGGAACCTTAGGAATATAGCCTATGTGTTAAGGAGGCTTAAAACAAAACAGGAAACTGAAAAGCCAGTCAGAAAAAGATAAACATATCTGACTACACAAAATAAAAACATCTAGTATGAAGAAAGATACCCTATTAAATCAAAGAAAAATGACAGAATGGGAAAATATATTTGCAACACATGTGACAGAAAGCACGTTAATATCCTACTTTGAACTCCCACAAATTCATAGTGCAAAGAAAAACTCAGTAAAAAAAAAAAAATGGGCAAAGGATATGAATTCCGGTTGACACAAGAGAAAATCCAAAGAGCTGGTGAATATATGGAAAGATGCCCCACCTTACAGAAAACAGGCCAATGCAAATTAAGGGAACACAGAGAAGTCATTTCCCATCCCCCAGACTGGCAAACATAAAAAATCCTCTGACCCAGCAATCCCACCTCTGGAATTTTATACCCTAGATAAGCAAGTACCAATTTATGAAGGTCTTTGTACAAAATGTTGTGACAGCCTTATTTTTACAGGACTGGGGGTGGGGGGTCAGGGGGAGAGAAATAAAACCACTAGAAATAACCCGAATCCCAATCAATCAGGGAATGGTGGCTGAGTAAACTGCGATAGCTTCATCCATACTATGGAATTATGTGCTGTATCTTTTGGCCTGGTGTGATTTCCACAATATATGGCTAAATGAGAAACGAAAGTTGCAGAGAAATTATATAGTTTTTTAAAATAAATATTAACCTGTCTCCCCCAAATGTAAATTCTATACATTGTACTATATACCGTATTTGCCGGCGTATAAGACGACTGGGCGTATAAGACGACCCCCTAACATTTCCACTCAAAATACAGAGTTTGTTATATACTCGCCGTATAAGACTACCCCCTCTTCCGCACACCTTCCACACACCAAATAAAAGGTAAAACAATATCAAATTTGATTTTAACATTTTAATTTATATTCAAATGCTTATGACATGCAGGAAAACTGTCACAAGGCTGTATGTAATCAAACATATACATAAAACAGTGCAAGTTTATTACCGGTAAACATACCGGTAATTCACTAACGAAAACACACTCTATAGACTGGTACCGTAGATGCTTCTCAGGAACACAGGCAAGCAGCCCACAACCTAGAGGGACTGTCAATGATAGAAGA